GCTCACCTTGAGCTGCCCCACCAGCCGCAGGAACTGCAGCAGGTTCCGGGCCCCGCGGCCCGATAGGGCCGCAGCGGACACCGAAGCCATGCGGCCACGGGTCCCGCAGGTCGGAGCAGGCCGCGCGGCCGCCTCCTGAAGCTCCTCCCCCTCCTCCGCCTCCTTCCTCCCCCCCTGCACCCTCTCCTCTGCTTCCTCCCTCTCACTCCTCCCTCCACTCCTCCCTCCTCTTCGTCCTCTTCCCTCCCCACCCTTCTCTTTCCCTCCAGACTCCTTCCCCTCCCTCCCTCCTCCGCCACTTCCTCACCGGGTTTTCCCAGACCCTTGTGGAAAAGAAGTGTTACACCTTCCTGGCCTTGGTGGCTGCCCCCCAGGCATTGCACCCTCCCTGGCCGACCGAATTTTGGTTTGTTTGCTAATCTCCATTTGTTTGCTAATCTCCACTCAACTGAACGCCATCAAACTTTTAACGGGATTGCAGTTGGGTAGGGGAGAGGCGGAGGGTGGTGTGCCTTTGGAGGAAGCGGAGGGTTCTGCAGGATTGGCCGAAAATCTTGCCTTTGAGCGACTCCGCGTCTGATTGGGGGAAGAAATAAAGAACTCTACTTCAAGGTGGGCAGTCTATGTACATTTAACCGAGGCACAGGAAAGTAATTTAGGAGAGACAAAAGCACTGAGAGAATTTGGGGCTAGCCATGAACGGCTCCGGAGTGAAAGCAATCCCATGGTGAAATCACAGCCTCCCTAACATCTCAAGCGCTGAAGAATCCCCTTACTCCAAAAAGCTGGTCAGGGTCTGTCTCAACCATCTGTCTTCATTAAATCATCGTCTTCTTTTTTTTTTTTTTTAACATATAATGTATTATTTGTTTCAGAGGTATAGGTCCGTGATTCAACAGTCTTACACGATATACGCAAACAATGAATCATGGAACACTACATCATGAACTAATGATGTATGGTGATTAACATAACATAATAAAAAAATAAATCAACAACCAACATCACCAGTTTTTAAAGGCATTTAGCGGACATGCATACAGAAGGACTCAGGGAGAGAGGGTAATGTTGAGAATAGACTCTATGGGGCAGGGAGGAAGTAGAGAGATCATTTAGGAGACTATTGAAATAATTCTCTGGGGAGATGATTCGGGTTTGGTCCAGAGTGGTAGTAGTGCAGGTGGTGAGTGGTTGTTAATTTTGTATACACCTTGAAGGTAGGACTAATAAGAGTTGTGACAGATTGAACATGGAGTATGAGAGAAAGAGAAGGATGACTCCACAAAATTGGGCCTAACTGGGAGGATGGAGTTGCTATTTAGTGAGCTGGAGAAATTGCAAGAAGAGTAAGTTGTGGGGAATCAAAAGTTTGGTGATTGGGGTCACTCAACATTCAGAGTTCGGAAGTCGAAGTAGTCAGTGAGGTAGGCAGAGGACTAAGGGACATTTGTGTTCTAGGAGCCAAATGAAGAAATTACTTCAAGAAGGAAAGAATGTGGCTGCTGTGTGTTAGTTTGTTATGATTTTCAAATCAACTTGTTTATAACAAAAAGAAAATTGTTTTTAAGAGTAAAGTTGTTTTGATCAAGAATGAAATAAGCTGTGACAGAATATTGTCATCTCATCTATTGTTGTTTATAAGCGTTCTGGAGCTTAGCTGCTGAGGGGCTGCACTGGGGGCTTATCAGTAAAAACATACCAAGAAGCAACTATGGCAGGTGGACATTTAGACTATAAACACCGGGAGTTTGTAAGGACTATCTGAGAGTGGTCTGAGCAAGCTGATTCTCTTTGCTAATCTCAATAGCCCTTAAAAGACCTTGGGGCAATTAACTCCTGCTACTCTAAAGGCAATTCTGACCTTCAGCGGCAAAAGCCATTCAATAGTAAAACCTAAGCAGGGGCAGGCCAAGGAGATCTTCTTGCCCATCAACAGGGCCACCATCGTTCCCTAGCAATGTGCTCTAGCAACCAGGGACATCAGCGGTTGGTTGGCTAACCCAGCTCTCCTGAGTAGCAACTTCACTTCAACTAAATTTGGGCTTTATTTCCTTTATCTTCCCTGGCCTGGAACAATAGTGTGGTTAATTTATCATTGTTTTGGAGGATGTTATTTCTTTATTGGGTATTAAGAGATATTATCCTGTATGTTATGAGTTTATGAAATTCCTGCGGTGAACCTGTGATAAATAAATAGCTGGCACAGACAAACTCAACTCTGAGGATTAATTTACCTCCCCCAAAAAACAGTAGTCAACCAAGTCAATGTTATGTTGGATAGGATTGAGATTTGACTACTGGATTTAGCAAATTCAGTGTCATTCGTGGTGGTGACAAGAGCAGTTTCAATGTAGAGGGGCAAGCAGAAACCTAACTGGAGATCATTCCAGAGAAAACAGGAGAGAGTATTGCGACTCATTTCAAATAGAGTGGGGCTACTAGAGAAGAGGTGTTTTTACTGTTGTTTTTTGTTTTGTTTTGTTTTTAAGAAAGAAGGTTTATAGTATGTTTATTTACTGATAGAGGTAATCTAGTAGTGAGTGAAAAATTCATGATGTAAGAGACAAAGAGATAAATGCTGGAATGATGGCCTTGAGCAGATAAAAGAGGATGCAATCCAGTGTACAAGTTGAAAGATTAATTTTAGGAATATGGAGAATTCTTCCATAGTACAGGAGGAAAGAAAATATATAGTGACTAATTACTGGCAGATGTGGTCGCAGGACATTGTAGGGTTCTATTCTGATTGCTTCTATTTTCTCACTGAAATAGGAAGCAAAGTCTGGACTAGGTTATGCTGTAGTAACAAGCAGCCTCTGTATTGTAGCAGTTTATCACATCAAAGGCTTGTTTCTCCCTTGCTAAATGTCTACTGCTGGTGAGCCCAGGGATGCTGCTGTAACTCACCAGGAAGCTAGGGGGCGCGTTGTGCTCCTCTATGGCTGAGACGGGGGGGGGGAGTGGCATCTGCCTCCTAAAGCCTGTCCTTGGAAGTGATATACCACCCTTCTACATATCATTGGCCAAAAGAAGCACTATCACCATATCTAACTTTAAAGTGGGGCTATGGAGTGCAATCTTAACCACGCTTCCGGAAGGAAAGGAAACCACAGTATTTGTGAATAGAGAAGGAGGCATTGGATGGTTATAGAGAAGGTATAAAATAATTGTTTTGGAGAGTGGGACAACAGGAGAAAATATGACTAAGCACCAAATGAATGCCAAGGACAGTGGGGCATGTATTAAAGATGGTTAAGATGATGGACTAGAAGCTATTTTTATGGTGTTAGGTGGTGCTAAGTGAAGGAAGGATCAGAGACCAAGTAGTCAGGTCCCCTGGAGGAAAACAAAAACCAACAATCCAGTGGAATAAGAAAGATGAGGACGTTTGATTTGCAGAAGGATATAACGAGGAACGTTCTAGAGATGGTACTGCAAGCCAGATGCTGAATGTGTGGTGCAGCCTGTGTGTTTCTGAGCGGCCGTGTCCCCTTCTTTTGCCAACGGTGCCTTGATTTCCTCATTTATGCAAGCTTTGTTTAGTCTTCATGGGTAGCTCTACTTGTATTTGCAACTTGCTTTACAAAATACACGTGAGTTCTCTTTCCTTTGTGTAGTGAGCTGTAAAGAATTTCTCCAGTTGCCTAAATTATCAGGAGTTAGAAGACATTAAGTCAATGAGAAATTATGAATTGTGTAGATGTAGTTTCTGAGAGTCCCAATTGAGATGATAATGATTTTTGAAGGGATTTTATTATCCAATAATAAGTTGTTATGACAATTCAAAAAATACTGTCAACTGTTGCTTTTCTAAACTCCAAAGATGGATCAGGACTTGTAACAGGGCTTATTCCTTGCTTGTCATCAAAAATACCAAGCAAGTGACTATACAGTGCATAGAATAATGGCCTCCCAAGGATGTCTGTTTGCTAATCTCCAGAGCCTGTGAATATGTTGTATTACGTGGCAAAGGGGACTGCAACAGATGGAATTCAGTTTTCTAATCAGCTAGATTTAAAATAGGGAGATTGTATTGGATTATCTAGATGGGCCAAATGTAATCACCAGGGTCCTTGAATGTGGAAGAGGGAGACATAAGATTAAGTATGAGAAAGATTCAACTGGCCATTGCTGGCTTTAAAGATGGAGAGAGGTCATGAGCCAAGGAACATGGGCAATCTCTACAAGGTAGAAGAGGCAAGACAGGTTTTCCTCTCAAACCTCCAGAAAAGAATGCAGCCTAGCCAACACCTTTATGTTAGCCCCGTGAGACCTGCTTTGGACTTCTGACCTCCAGAGCTGTTAGATAATACATTTGTGTTGGATCAAGAGTGTTCGAAGTTTGTGGTAATGTGTTATAGCAGCAATAGGAAACTAATAGAGTAACTAATCATACTGGATGACCTTGACCCCTTTTTACCAATTACCCTTTTGCACTTTTTTTTTTCCCTGAAGAAGGGAAATTGGCAAGGCTCTTTACACTCTACCAAGCTAATGGCTTATTTCAAGGACCTGCTGGCCAATCAGTAGTATTGGGGGAAATAGGAATCAATTTGTCTCTGCAGAAGGGTTGCCCATTTTAAGCAATGGGCAAGGAAAGCTCTTCGGCACCATTTACTCCAGTCCATTAGAAGAAAAGATGAAATTAGTAGGCTGTTGCCAGAGGGACTCTTCCCTTGGGCTCACTACGCACTTCAGGTGAATCTGTGACTATCCTGAAATTGTCTACAAATTGGGTTACTTCTGAGGATTTTTCTGTTGATCAGATCCTTAAAGAGATCTGAGACCAGAATGAGAAAGTTGCTTCGGTGAGCAGCAGTATTTGATGCAGTGCAGTGCGGGATGCTTTGGTCTTAGAGTAAAAAAAAGCTGCAGTGGGTCGTGCCTCTGCTAGCGACCTGTATTTTCACAGAGCTCACCTCATCTTAATCCTCCCAACCTCCCTCCGAGATATTAATAATCCCTCATTTCAGATAAGAAAACCGTTTTGCCCAGAAGCTGAAGAACTGGCCTAATTGTTTTGTAGCCAGGAAACCGTGGTGACAGAATTGTAGCTCTGGACTGTCTGCTTCCAGATCTTTCTTCCCGGGACATCCTGCTGCTCCCTAGCCAGCTGCCTATTAGTACCTGCTTCCTATCGTTGTGAACAGTAAA